TTAGTGAATAGAGACTGTCATAAACCAATTAATATAATCACTGGACTCGGGTTACATGAGGTTCGAATAAATGAGAAAGAAAAACTAATGTATGTGCATTATAGAAGTCTGAATATACATTATATAATATATAATTACAAAAAGAAAAAAGTTTCACTGTTCTCTTTCAGGTAGAATGTAGTGTTATTACTATTATCATCTTGAGAGTTTTTTGCTATAGGACGCACGCGCTTGCCAGAAAGACAGAGAGAGAGACAGAAAGCGAGAAATCACCCCCCCACCCCAGTGGGTATGGCCACACCACAATCCCTTCTCCTCTAGTCTCCTCTCCAGATCTTGGGAATACACGCACACGCACCCAGTGTGAGTTTTATCCACAGGGTCCGGGGCTCCAACCGCGGTCAACTACATGGGAGTCCAGCGACATAGCAATTACGCTAACTGCTGGTCCCAGATTGTAGAGTTATTACCTTCCATTCTTTCCCCTATGAATTAAAAAAAAATTTAATAAGACGCAAAATGTCAAGTTGGTAAGATCTGTTCCTGATGGAAACTATTTAGGTCAGACCACCCACTTCAGGTTCCAGCCTACCTGGACTCAGCACTACCAAGAGCTAGCAGCCATTAGGCAGCGAGCGACAGACAGTGACAACTTCAAGGTCTCAACTGCCAAGGAGCCCTGTAAGCTACCGCAGCCTTGTCAGGTTCAGACAACTAGTCCCGGGGGCGTGAGCAGCTTCTGGGGCTGTGGCTAAGGGGCGCGGCGAAGGGGCGAGGCGGTTCCCAGCTGGAGCTCAGGTTATCGGGCGGGTCTGGAGGGGCTCCGCGGCGCGGTGTGATGACGTCCCACACACGGGCCCGAGGTGGCGTGTTGCGCATGCGCGCTTGCGCTTTGGCGTCTTGGTTGTAGTTCCCGAGCTGAGGGAGAAGTGTGTTGTAGGCCAGGATGTTACAGACTTTTGGTGGTGCGGAGGACCAAGAGGAGCCTACGGAGGAGGACTGTCCTGAATTGGTTCCCATTGAGACGAAGCAAAGAGAAGAGGAGGAGGAAAAGACTGTCCTCGGCGCCAAGATCCCAGTCACAATTATCACCGGGTATTTAGGTAACTAACCATCCCGGTCAGAAAGTGCCGTGAACTCTGGTGTCCTGAGATTTTGGGTGCAGACGGTGCCTCTTCTCCTTAGGCACTGGGGCCTCCTGGCCAGGAGCAAATGTCTTTGAGGTAGGGGCCGGGTCACGTGCTCCTGGTATGGGTTGCCTGTCATTTCGGGGGTTAATGATGCACCCACACTTGTGCTTTAGACTCCCGTTTCTCAAGTTAGATCGGAAGTTAGTCTTGCATTTTGAAGCGAGGCTTTGAAGTCCGGTCTTGCCACCTAATTTTCCATGTGACCTCTGACAGGTTATCTTTCTGAAACTCATTCACCGCTCCTAAAAATGGAGCTAATACCGGTCACCCGTTCAGCTGGTTTGCTCATCTGCCAAATGGGGCAGGAAACACCTGCTTTATAAGTATTGTCATTAAAAGCTGTCCTGTCTTTAAAATGCTGGACACCTGGGAGCATTTCTCAGTGGCTTCCCCTTTACCACGAGCCAACTCTTCAGCTCTTCAGGCAAACATTCATGCAAAGTACAGTACTACTCTGATCTCAAACGTGTCTCAAGCTGTGTTTGCAAAGCATTGTTGGAGGAAGAATAAAGACTGCCCTCTGAGATTCTGTTTCTCAAACTGAGGACGTTAAGGAATGCACAGGGATACTTGAAACCACAGGTTTGTAAACAGTCCAGTTTCTTGAAAGACAGTTTATGTGCTTACACTAGAGAGTATTTGTTGGAAAAGTTTGACAAGTATTATTTTAAATCTTCAAGAATTAAGGAGAAGGGCTAGATTAAATACATGGCTATAAAAATGTGGAGACAACTAACAAGTATAAAGAAAGTGATTCTATTTTAGGGAAATAATAGGAATTTGCACACCTGAGGGCCTTTTACATAAAAATAAATCACTAGCGTGTGTATGTTTTTAATAGACTGTAAAGTTTATTTCCATTTTTTACTCAAGATTAATTTTTTAAAGGAATTGATTTTTAGTATTTCTCTATTGTTATTCAGAGGCAGTTTTACTGAGAGGTTGAATAGATACCTTGTCAAAAACAGTGTAAGTAATTATTGATTGAGTAATTGATTGATTGATTTGATCAGAGAGGGACTGAGAGAGAGAGAGGGAAAGTGAGAAAGCAAGCCACCAGGTCTGGGACTTGAACTGTGGTTAGCCATGTGTAAGTTCAGTGTCCTTAACCACCACGCCACCTGCTGGCCCCTCTCTGGCTTTTTGTTAAAACCCATACCCCTATCCGTCATTTAACTTCATACATAGTTTCCATTTGGATGTTTTACAAGCATCTCAAATTTAATATGAAAATTTCATGTTACCATCCCCGCAAATCCTCCTGCTCTATAATCTCAACCACCTGGAATACTCTGAAAACCTTTTAACAAGTCTTGAGTCTTGTTCTGTATGTTAGCTCTAATGAAACTTTATAAATGTCAATCTGATTGTATCAGATCGTGTCTTCAATGACTTGATTTGGGTTAAAGTTCAGGTTTCTTCACATGAATTATAAGGAACTGTATGATCGATGTCTTGCCAGCCTTTCCAGCCTTCCAAGTGACCCAACACGTAGAACTAATTTTATTTCTTAAAGGTGCCAAGTAACCTAGCCCCATGGAATAATTTTTTTACTGTTACTCCTCTGGTAGATGTCTCTCTTAGGTTCTCCATAGCATCTCTTATATCTCCTATTGAATATATCATCTTATGACAGAATTTTTCCATTATTTATCCAGATTCCATCCCCTCTCCCTTGATATATCTAAGCCTCATGAAGGTAAAGACTGTTTTTGTCCTGTTTACTTTTCACCAAGGCCCAGCCTAAATCTGGTTTGTGGTAGATATTTCTGAATGAATGAACTGTCTTTTTTTTTTTTTTAAGAGGTTTTTGCTATAGGGCGCGTGCGCTTGCCGGAAAGACAGAAAGAGACAGAGAGATAGAAAGTGAGAAATCACCCCCCCCCCCAGAGGGGATGGCCACGCTGCAATACCTTCTCCTCCATTCTCCTCTTGGGATCTTGGGCATGCATGCACACGTGCCCAGCGTGACTTGAAGCCACCGGTTCCGGGACTCAAACCGCTGTCGACTACATGGGAGGTCAGTGATATAGCCATTATGCTAACTACTGGTCCTGAATGAACTGTCTTAAAGTCTTTTTCTTCTTAATTTTAATATTAAGCCCTAATACTTTTTCTCCTAAAAGGTTTCTTACATCTGCCCCGTTAAAAATTTCTGTCGCTGCCCTGTGCAGCCCTCATGTTCAGGGCCTCTGTCCCACACTTGGCCTAGTTTTAAGAATTTCCTTGTTGCTCTGTCTCACTTTTTTTTCCCCTGTGTTATATATGGTTCACAAGACAAACGTTTTTCTTCTACTCGAGATGAGTATTTTAGTTGAATATGCCACCTACTGGATAAAGTGAGTGTAGCTTTATGAATTTGTTTTTCTAAATAAATATTCTGTCCATTGTTATTGCTTTCTACCTCCAACTCCCATTTCATAAAATTGGTTTTATAGATTGTTTAAGCATACTAAAAGTGGCCATATAATTAGTCTTGATTTGTGTTTGGTTAATATTGGATGTTGAAATAAAAGATAGGTCTTTATATGTAATTTTTAGGGAAGTAAATCACATATTCTTGGTCCAGAAACATTATTACCACCTAAAGAGATTTAAATATTTTACTTTATTTATTTATTTATTTTTGAGAGAGTTTTTTCTATAGGGCACTGTGCGCTTGCTAGAAAGACAATAGGAAGGGAGAAATCACCCCCCAGGGGGGATGGCCATGTTGTAATCCCTTCTCCTCTAGTCAACTCTCAGGATTTGGGGCACATATGAACACGTGCCTGGCATGAATTTTAAGCCACCAGGTCTGGGACTTCAACAGCAGTTAACTATGTGAGAGTCTAGTGACATAACCATTATGCCATCTGCTCATCTTATTTTACATTTTATGAACTACATGAATACTTTCATTCTTTGGAAACTATTACTTCAGTAATTATTTGATGTAATTCAAGATGCCCTTATGTTATTATATTGTAAGTTCTGGAGGGAGCATATTATATTTTTCATAGTAGGTTGCAAAAAAATTGTGATCCAGCTAGTAGGAGTGTCTTTAAATATTCACAAAATCTTACATCTACATAAAACATTTTGTAGTAGTTTTTTTGGGTTACTTGAATCTTCAAGAACTTTTTATATCACAGTTAAAAATATGTGAAAAATAGTACACAGATTCTTTTAAAAATTAGAATTCTTTATATCCTTTTTGTACCCTTGAAATTTATATTTTAATTTTGTTATTTAAAACAAATATATTTTATAGGTGCCGGGAAGACAACACTTTTGAACTATATTTTGACAGAACAACATAGTAAAAGAATAGCAGTCATTTTAAATGAATTTGGAGAAGGTAAGTAGAATTCAGTAGATGTTATGTTCTAAGAATTTATAGGACAGTTTATTGTGTTGGTAAATTGATAGCCCGTATTTTAAATGAAAATGGAAAGTATTATAGTGTGAATACATTGATGTGGCAAAATTAATTTCCATCAAGTTTTATTTTGTGTGGATATGGGATAATGAAATCTGATGGTTTCTATTGTTAAAGAAAAACTTCAGACAGTTTAATTTAGTGGGGTTTAATTGAGCAAAAGAAAACACAATTTGAATTTGGGACCCCACAATAACTTCTAAGGGACTCTGGGGGGCCTGCTGGTTGAACATATTTTTGATCCGGAAAAGGAAAGTGATGTACAAAAATGGAAGTGTGGGAATGAGGTGGAGAAATAATTGGACTGATTAAATCTTGAAGTTTGTGTTAACACAGTTTAAAAGGCAGGATGTATGTGATTGAAGCATAGGTAAGGAAGCAGTTTTCTAACTGAGGTCACGGTTTGCTTATGGAAGCTAAAGCAAGAGTATAGAGGCTTTCTCAGACCAGTATACTTTAACAGTATAAAATTTTATTTTGTATAACTAGAAGTCATACCAGAATTAAATGTGATTCTTACATGAAATAAATGATTCTAGAAATAAAAGTCTAATCAAATGGAAGAGTTTTTATTCCAGGAACTGGAATGGTGGTTTTATACTGACTACATTGTTTATCGCAACTCATGAAAAATGTTTGAAAATGCTTCAGTTATTGAAAGTTTACCTTGTGGGACTAGCAGATAAGTATAGTGGTTAAGGCACTGGACTCCCACGTGTCCGACTATGGTTCGAGTCCTGGACCTGATGGCTTAAAAATCACAAATAGGTACATGTATGTACGTGCCCAAAATCCCATGAGGAGAGTAGAGAGGGGATTGCAGCATGGGCATCCCCCCTGGGGAAGGATTTCTCATTTTTCATCTCTCTCTAGTGAACACATGTGCCCTATGGCAAAACTTTAAAAAAGAAAAAATGTTTACCTTGTTAAATGTTTATTACCTGCACAGTAGTGAAAACCAAAGATTTAAAAAAATAAGTTTCTAGGGGTGAGTAGTTGGCATGGTGGTTAAGGAGTTGGACTCCTACATGGCCGACCGTGGTTTGAGACCATTGGGCACATGTGCATGTGTGCCCCAAATTCCCAGAGGAGAATAGAGGAAAGAGATTGTAGTGTGGCCACCCCCCCAGAAAACGATTTCTCATTTTCCCTCTATTTCTGGTGAGCACACAAGCCTTATGGCAAAATAAACAAACAAACAAATAAATAAAACAATAACAGAAAAATATCCAAGAAATATCTAGTATTAAGGATGATGTCTATCCTTAAACAGCACGTATGTCCACTGTGTTTTTCAAGCCACTGGGGCTGAATTCGAACTGCCCATATGAGATCTCAGGTCAAAGGGCATACAAAAAACAATATAAAAAGCATTGTAGTGTATATAGCAAGTTTTCCATGGCAAGAAAAAATGCTTTCAAGATAGATTCTTTACTAAGAAATGGAAGTGGGTGAGTAATAGGCCTAAAGAAGAAATACATATATTCTTTAATTCTGGATTTATCTTTTTAGAGGCTTAAATTCTCTTAAAGAGAAGCTAAAATAATCTAGAGTAGTATAATTTAAATAGCAAGTCAGCAAGAATAGAGAGGGGCTGGTAGGCCGTGTGGTGGTTAGGGCACTGGACTCCCACATGGCTGACTGTGGTTCTAGTCCCTGATCTGATGACTTGTTTTCTCACTTTTGCTCTCTCTCTGGTCAAATTAGAAATGATAATGATAATTAAATTGAAGAAATAATTCTCTAAAAAATACAATGAAAGAATAAAAGTAGTACAATGTAGTTTCTGATTTATAACTTGCCATTAATGAGTATCCTATTTAGTTTTTGTTGATTGGTAAACATAATCTAAAGAATTCTCCTCTGTTTACCTGTTACAGGAAGTGCTGTGGAGAAATCCTTAGCTGTCAGCCAGGGTGGAGAGCTCTATGAAGAGTGGCTGGAACTTGGAAATGGTTGCCTCTGCTGTTCAGTGAAGTGAGGAATGTATTTACTACTGTTTGTTGGCTTCCAGAAATGTTTATTGATTATCTTTCCAGCTTTGATTTTCATTATACTGATTTTGATTCAGTATAATTTAACTGAATTTACAACTTGCTTCATTGTATTTTTAACAAATTCATTAGGATGTATTTTCTTAAAGTGTTTCTTGATTTTTTCCCCCTATGCTCTGTAATGCTTTGATCCTTTTATTGACTTTTTTTTAAAAATAGTTTTTGATGTCAGGGCTTATTTAATAATCTCCATGGTGCATAAAAGTCTCATTTCACTTGAAAAAATGATCACGCGGGGAACCAGCAGTTAGCGTAATGGCTATGTCGCTGGATTCCCACGTAGTCGACCGCGGTTCGTGTCCCGGTGGCTTAAAACTCACGCCGGGCGCGTGTGCGTGCGTGCCCAAGATCCCGAGAGGAGAATGGAGGAGAAGGGATTGCGGCGTGACCATCCCCCCTGGGGGGTGATTTCTCGCTTTCTGTCTCTATGTCTCTCTCTGTCTGTCTGGCAAGCGCACGCGCCCTACAGTGAAAATCTCTCAAAAAAAAAAAAAAAAAAAGATCACGCTGTGTTTAATAAGCCATTGGTCTTATTTCTAAGTATCCAACATCTCTAAAAACAAAGATAAATAACTGTTAAAAAAAAAAAGGGAAGTCTTATGCTATGTTCCATCAGTTATGGTTAAGTTCCCAAGGAGAGTGTTTTATTTTGTTCACTGATCTACCGTAGCTACTAGAAGAGTACCTGACATGTAGGAGCAACTCAAATACTTGCTGAATAAATTAATGAAATTAATACATAAACTGCTGTTTTTGTATATTCTAGTGAATTAAATGACTTCTACATCATTTACTGCCATAGATTTTTGACTTTGAGTCAAACATACTAGCTAAGATAAAATCATTGCAGATTTACTTGAACAACCAAAATATAATCCATTAAGTATTTACTTTTGATAGTTTAAGAAAAATTGGAAATTGAAACATGCTCTAGTTCATAATAGAATTAAGTGGTATTTAATGACAGTGTCCCTTTAGTGTATTAAATGATTATAGTTAGTACATTTTATCATTATTTTGGATATAGACTTTTTTCTTTCATAAAAACTATAAAAATAACAGATACTGATTGACTTTAGTCAGATAAATTAAAGTTCCCTCTGCTTTTAATTTTAATAAAATTAAAGTATTATTAATATAATTTCTTTTATCACAAATACGAAAAATTCATGCTATATTATACTTTAATGTATTATACTTTAATCAGTGTACATGCATCTGCTTTTTTCTCTTCATTGATAAATACTGATGGACATATTGTGAGAAGCTTAAGTGTAAGCTAAGTTTTCACATACCTAAAGCTGTCTTTGTGTTGAGTCATCAAATATAGTTTAAAATATTTGTAGTGATCACTTAAAATATTCAGATTATTAATCGTACATTATGTTTTGGTATTCTCCAGGGACAATGGCCTTAGAGCCATTGAGAACTTGATGCAGAAGAAGGGGAAATTTGATTACATATTGTTAGAGACCACTGGGTTAGCAGATCCTGGTAAGGAATTATATTATTCATAACTAGAGTAATCTTTCCACATTTTAAGTAGTTATTTTAGAGAAATATGTAAAAATGAGTATCAAAGCTTTTCAAATTTCTTTAAGCTTTATTTTGGGAGGTGATTCATAAAAGGAAAAATACTGGGTTGTCTCTTTTTTGACAGATGAATTATGATGAGAGTGTTTCTTGGTACTTTTAAGCTGTTAATAGAATTTGAAATTTTACTACTTGATTTAGGGTTATTATAGTGAGAAAAGTTCTTTAAATTTAAAATTTGGAAATTTAGGAAAAAATGGAGACATTCTATTGATAAGTATATGTTGGATGGATTATATTATATAAAAATCTAAATTTTTTTTCCTTCCACTTACTTACTTATTGCTGTAGAGTGTATTCACTATCAGAGAGAGACAGACATGGAGAAATCACCACTCCCCCCCAATGCAATCCCTTCTCCTCTATTTCTTATCCCATTGGAATTTGTGACATGCACACAACATGCTGGCACGTTTTTCAAGCCACAAGGGTCAGAACTCAAACAATTGTTGGCCATGTGGGATCTGCTACCTTCAGCTGCGTAGGCCACAGGGCCAGCTCAAGATTTTATTTGCTAATTTCATTTATTTATTTTTTGAGCTTTTATATTTGTATTTATCCTTTAACTGTTAAAATACTACTATAGATGAATATTAAAACAAAAACAGTAGCAAGTAGTGAGCATATTCTGATTATAGTCCTTCACTCATTCACTACTGCATATAAAATGCTAGCAGTGAGAGTTTACTGGCCTCCTCAAGAGGTTTGACACTGAACATCACCTTGAGAACGATATTCATCGTCTTCATATGCTTCTTCATTGTAATGGCACTGTCTTTCCTGATTTGGATCAAAGTCCCTCAGTTCTACCTGGTCCATTTCATTGGTCTCTTCTATTTCCCTCCTCTCAGGTAAAAGTTTTTCCAGCAGAGAGAGTTTATCAGGAGACAAAGCCATTCTCAGGGAAGTTTACCTTAAATTCAATGATTAGGTGACCCTTTTCATATGGTCTACGATAAATTGTTATGCCTTCATTTAACACACACTTGTTATCTATATGCTTGACAATCTGACCTGGATGAGAGTTGATGACTATGGTTCAGTTGTCAGGAGTGGAAATTGGCTTCTGGAAGCCAATGCTTCAACCAGCTTTATGTCCATATACATGAAAAGGTCTTCTTGTCGAGTAAAAACAGCATGATCTTTCTGATTTAGTACAATGATAATATCTCCTGGCTCCAGTCCTGGTTCTTCATCTCCTTCACTGTGGAATGTTATCATCTGGCCATCTCTCATGCTTTTGTCAATATGAACTTCTAGAATCTTCTCTCAAACTATTTTCCTTCCATTGCAACTTTTACATCTATCCCTAGGACTGATCTATTCCCCAAGGCCTTGGCATTCCATGCATACAGATTGAATTTGCTGACCAATTCCAAGTCCTATCTGATGAATTCTTACTTGCATTCCAGTACCTCGACAATTGGGACAGCACTCTACTGCTCCTTTCTTACCACCTCAGCCTTCACATTTGTCACAAATCACATTCTTTTGCAGGACCAGTTTTCTGGTTGCACCATTATATAAATCTTCTAAGGTTACTGACAGCTGATGTACAACATTTTTACCTCTTCTTTCTTTCTGTGTCCTTTCTCCTGCTCCAAAAAACATATTAAAGATGTCCATTGGGGATCCCAAACCACCACCTGCTCCACCCTCTTTAATTGCCTGCTCTCCTCCTTTGTCGTATAATTCCCTTTTCTTCGCATCAGAGAGAACTTAAGTTTGAGAAAACTGTTTGAACTTCTCACTTTCGTCTGGATTCTTGTCAGGGTTGTACTTCAAGACCAGTTTCCTGTAAGTCTTCAATTCTTCTTGGGTAGCATTAGGTTTGATCCCCAAAACATCATAGTAAGTAGTTTCTTTGAACATTTTCTACAGCCAGTGAGCAGCTGAGGTCAGTGTGGGGGAGCAGGAAGGTGCATGTAGCTATCTGTGTGCAGCTCTGGTAGCTGCCGCTCTTCAGCTTCTGACTGCATTCTGGGAAGTTCTCTATTTGTTAACTTTCTAATCCAGCTTTCTAAGAGGGTCATTAAAAGATAAATAAAGACTTTTGGACTCTAATCCAGCAATACTTATTCTCTTCAAATGAATTGTTTTTTCTTTTTTTTTCTCTTTAAATTTATTTATTTTTTACATTAATTCACTATACATCATTACAGCATACCAATGAATTTTCCATACAAAATACACTGCATATTGGCTCAATCAAGCACATCAACATACATGTTATCAGCAAATAATTTTCCAATTCTTATATCTCGTATACTTTGTTTTGCCATCCTTGATCTGTCACCCTCTGCCATGTCCCACCCTCCTCCCACATTGTATCTGGTATCCATGGTCGCTTTCTATGCCTTCCCCCCCCATTTAATTGATTTGCTAATGAACTTAATTAGTCTAAATACATCCAATAGCTAGCACAGCTGATATATACCTATGCATGAACCCAAGTCTGACTTCTGACTTTAGGCATAAACCTCAGTGAGTAGAATGAACATACTATAAAGTAGTACCTAGCTGGGGCTATATAGTTTACTGCAGTCATCAAATTCAATCTGGAAGATCGAACCTCAACCGAAGAAAGATTAAGTACATGAGACTGAACTGATGAAACAACATTCTGTGACTTGACTAAAATATTGTTGCATTTCTTCTAAGCTTTGTTGTCCAGTTTTAAAGGATTTTTGTCCTCTATCTTGAGCTGTTGATAAGTTCATGTATCTACTATTTGAACAGAATAGTAACCTGTTTCTAGGCTTTAAGTTTCAAGGAAATATCATTATCAGTTCAAAACTGCTTTTCTTGAAATTACCAGCTGAACTTGCTATTGAAAGTAGTTAGATCACTTATGATATTGTGTGATCAACAAAATGTTGGGGGAAAAGGAATGGAAGACAACTGTATATAGCAGAGATAGTGTAATAAGAGAGTAGGAAAGGGCAGAGGGTCAGACATGGGGTAAAAAACATATATATACATATACATATATATGAAAGTAGAAATGGAATATTATTGATGATAATATGCATGATTAAGCCACTACGCAGTTTATTCTAGATGGGAAACCACATTTAATATGTTGCGGTGATGCTCAGGGAATGAATGTTTAGTAATTAAAGAAAAAGTTGCAGGAGAAAAAAAAAACAGTAAAACTGTTCGTATCGAAAATGAATTGTTTTTTTCTACTGATAAAATTGAAATAATTTTATTCGTGAATTCTTTCATAAGATATCAAGGACTAAACAGTTAAGCGAGGCCTACTGAAGCCTTTTTCCTCATTTTAAGTGAATGATTATCCATAAAATTTTTACCTCTAAATAGAATAGACAGCTAAACTTCACTATGGAAAGCTACAGAAACTTGGCCTATTTTTTTTTTTTTTCTTTTAAGAATCTTTGATTAGAGAGGGACAGAGTGAGAGAGGGAGAGAGGGAAAGTGAGAAAGCAAGCCACCAGTTTCAGGACTTGAATCATGGTTGGCCATGTGGGAGTCCAGCGCTTCCAACCACCATGCCACCTGCCAGTCCAAAAGTTGGTCTATTTCTAAAAAGGAGTTTCTGTTACCTTCTGCCAAATTCTTATGAGGTCTGCTATTTTTGCCAGATGATTTTTAGATTAAATCCTTATTCTCAGCCTGCATAACATTTAGTACTTGGTCTGAAAATCTGACTGATGCTGTTTTTTTTGTATATTTGATACAAGCTGGCCTTCCTTTTTGTCAGTAATTCTGTTTCAGTCAGTGTTCTTTTCATTGCTTTATTTTTGTTTTTTTTTTTTTGCTTGGGTGTGCATGTGTATGTGAGAGAGTGAGCACATGCGTGTTGCATGCACAAACACTCCTCAGTGAGGCCTGGTCATGCTGCAATCACCCTTTCCTCCATTTTCCCACCCAGTCAGGGTCTTGGGCACGTGTATATGTACCTAGTGTTTTTCAAGCTGCTGGGGCCAGGATCCTGTTAGAGCCAGCTCTTGCATAGTGCACTAGTGCTGCACTAGGGGGGTTGGCCCCTCAGTGGTGTCATTGGTTAAATAATGGTGTTACATAGACAGTATGTTTATTTCTTTAGCACTACAAGCTACCTTATTTATTATTATTATTTTTTTTACCTTGCTTTTGAGACTGTTTTATAGAGGCTGTATTGTTTTTATGTTAAATTCTTTATGGTGAAGTCTTTGAGAATTTTCTTTGGTTTCTTGGTTTGTGTTTCCTTCCAGATTAGGTTCTTTGCCACTTGTATGCCCTATTCATTTCTCCTATTTCTTTTCCTTCCTGCCTTTTAATCTTTTTTTTTTCTTTTTTTTTGCTGTAATACAAGTGTACAAGTGACGTAGGAGGCTCAGAGGACTTCTATTTACTTGGAATTGATGTTGGTGAAGAATTCTTTTAGTACCCTACCCATCTTACCCAAATTTGTTTTTATTCTGAGCCGAGTTTGAAAGTTAGATATTGCTGAGGGGAATTAGAGGTGGGGAACAAAGGAGAAAGAAGTGACTAAGATAACCAGGTAAGGCAATGTGGCTTTTAAGCTCTGCTGTCTTGGAATATCAACTAGCTTCCCCTTGGGTTTCTGGTGTCTGTTTATGAATACACATCCTGTACCTTGTGTAGAGACATCAATGGATCTCAGCCCTCTTGCTTGTTTTTATTCTGAGATTTAGAAAATAACCTCCTCAGGACCAGCACTTGGCATAATAATATGTCATTGGGCTCCCATGTAGTCAACTGTGGTTTATGTCCTGGACGTGGCAACTTAAAACTCATGCTGGTCATGTGTGTGCGTGCGTACCCAAGATCCTAAGAGCAAAATGAAGAAGAAGGGATTGCAGCATGGCCAACTCCTCCTGGGGAGTGACTTCTCGTTTTCTGTCTCTCTCTCTCTCTGTCTCTCTGGCAAGTACATGCACCCTATAGAAAAATCTCTCTCTCAAAAAAATTTATAACAGGAAGTTGTATTCCCTTTTATATTTGGTTGCTGTTAATAAAAGTTTGATTTCTTTTATTTTATTTAATTTATTTATATAAATATTTATTTGTTGTGATTTTCAAGCCACAGGGTCTGGATCTTGAACTGTTGTCAGTTATGTGCACACAATCTAGCACTTTTAACCACTATGCAACCTGCTGGCTCTTTGTTTTTCTTAAAGAATTATTTGTTTAATTTTTCTTATTATTTTTTATTTTAATTTGTTATAGGGTATGTACGAACATCAGAGGGGGGGAGGGGAGAGAGAGAGAGAGAGCGAGCAAGCTGCCAGGTCTGGGACTCAAACCGTGACTTCCTATGTGAGAATCTAGCACTCCAACCACATGCTACCCGTTGGACCTGTTTTATTTTTTGTCTTTTTTTTTTTTTTTATTTTGCTTTTATTAGGTTTTGAAAAGGGAAATTATGTAGTTTAGCTAAGGGTTTCTTAGTCTCTGCAGAAATGATGTTTTGGGTTGGATAACTTTTGTCATGATGGGGCTGTCCTGTGCACTGTAGGCTGTTAGCAGTATCTCTGGTTTTTACCCACTAGGTGCTGGTAACATTATCCTCCTTGAAAAAACCAAACATGTCTTCAGCCATTACTAAACATTCCCTGGGGAGAAAAATCACCCTGGTTTTTGAGACACTGATTAACATCATTTACTCATCCTTACTCTTCCTATTAAACACCTGCACCCGAATTCGAAATAGTTCTTTTTGTAGATAAACATCAGATTTAGAATACAAGGTCTAATATATTCTTACTTACAGTTCAATTTAATAATAGTCACATGTTAATGGTGAGACTCACATGCTATTTATCAGATAGAAATCAATGAGTTTTTTAAAATTGTAAAATGATTTATGTACTGTGTTAGATTTTACTGAGTGAAAGAAAAATTAATACTTTTTTTTATGACTTATTGCTTAGAGTTAATGATACGGTAGATTTACTTTTTTCTCCCTCATTAATTAAAATCATGTTTTTAGTCCAGAAAATGAAGAAAATTCTTATTGGCAATTCAGTTGTTTCCCGTTTAGGAGACTGACACTCTCCAGTTCTAAGCTAAATAATTGTCATGGTAAAGTAATTTCCTTGAAAAGGATGGACATTGATTCAGCCCCTGTTACTCACAAATTCTATTTCAGTCAAATTGGAAAACTATTAAGTTTTTGGGAAAAAAATCAATAGGTACCAGGAAACCATTAGATCTTGTGGCCCTTGCTATATCTTGCATGAGTAATCACTGTAAACAGCTGACAGGTATTTCATTGTTGACACAAAGTGATGCTTGGGGGACCGTGTCTCGTCAGGGTAGGTGGACAGCTTTAGACATTGGAATGAGTTCAGTTATCCTTTTTTTTTTCCCCGATGCTCATTTTTTTAGACAGCCCTGTCACTAACTGGGCCTGTGATACTTGGAAAAATGAAATACTTTCCTCGCTGTCAGTTTTCGTTTTCTTGTGTTGTGGCATACTAATCAGGGTATATGGTTTGGTTCTGAACCAGCATCTGTCAAAAACAACGTTTAATTTCTTATTTAGAAATATTTTTTCTCAGATCCAAATTTATACCACTAGTAAATAAGTAGTGTGAGGATTAGTTATTAATGTCGTAAAGTATATTTTACTTGTTCTTTTCAAAATATAAAATTTTGAAATTTTATTTTAAAAATTTAAGTAAACTTTTCAGTGGGAAAGTCATTTTGGAATTATCTATATTTTGTTTTGCTTTTCCTCCAGCTAATTAGTACATTGTAAACTGTATGATTATATTCAGGAGATGAGAAAATAGAAATAGTTCTCTGTGTACACATTCATACCGCCAAAATTATTTGATATTATTTGTTGGAAAATTATTATGGCACTGATTAGAAGCTTGGTGTTTGGTTTGTATGTGGCTTGGAGTGTGAGATTGGCTTTTTTGAGGAAATAAGGAGAAGGCTAGAAATGGATATAGAGTAAAAGATTTCGTTATTGTAATTCTCATGAGATTGGAAACCAGATTTAATTTTTTAAAATGTATTTTTCCTTTGATTTATTCTGTGGTATGGGCATGTGAATGAAGTGGGGGTTAGGGAGAGTGGCAGGAGCACTCTCCATGGGCTTAGGTCATGGCACATTCTGCTTATGCAGCCTTCCAGCCAGTTGGATTTGGGTACTCGTATGTGCCCGCCATGTTTCAGGCCAGTTGTGCTGGGGATTCAAACCTCTGTCACTGTGTGGAATCCATCTTCTCTCTCTTTACAAAGAATTATTCTTACTTTAATTTTATTAATCTTTATTATTATTATTAAATTTGATCAGAGAGAGACAGAAAGTGAGAAAGCAAGCTCCCAGGTCTGGGACTCAAAGCGTGGTCACCATATGGGAGTCCAATGCCTTAACTACCACACCACCTGCTAGCCCCAGCTTCTCTTAAACAGTGCATTACTGCTATGGCATAGGGAACAGCAGTTGGTGTAATGGCTTTGTCGCTGGACTCACATGTAATCCACTGTGGTTCAGGTCCTGGACCCGGTAGCTTAAACTCATGCTGGGCACGTGTGCATACATGCCCAAGATCCTGAGAAGAGAATGGAGGAGAAGGGATGATAGCATGGCCATCCATCTTGGGGGGATGATTTCTCACTTTCTGTCTCTCTGTCTCTCTTTGTCTTTCTGATTAGCACATGGGTCCTATGGCAAAAACCTCTCCAAGACAAGAACAAGAAAACAGTGCATTACTGCTATGGCACAGAGCAGGCCTCAAATTTAACTTGTTCGTGTGATTTCTGATTCCACTGGGGCAAATTAACACGTGGGTAGAGTCATGCTTCTTAGTTTGAAGAAAGATTTTAACTTGATGAATATTATTTTAATACGTATTTTCAGGTGCTGTGGCTTCTATGTTTTGGGTCGATGCTGAATTGGGGAGTGATATTTATCTTGATGGTAAGTTAAAAACAAATGAACAAAAATTCTTTGTTTTTAAGTAAACTTGTATTTTATGTTCATTTCTGTTTTAATTTTAATTCTTCGCATTACTGTTCTTTTCAAACTTGACGTTGGTCTTTGTTCATATACATTCTCTATAGTAGTAGAACTGGATGTCAGATCTTAATCTCAACTCCCAACTTAGTTTACACTAAGATTTTCCTTTTAAAATACTGTGTAGATTTCCTGTAGCCTCTGCTCTTTGATTGATGCACTTGATATATTAGAGCTTTTTATTTTCATTAGCCAGTGTGAGGATCATATTTCTGTTTTCATTTTCCCTTGAAGATAAGAATTAACCTACCCCTTCCCCTTTTCTTTACCTATGTTAACACTTTGGGCAATCTTACTTATAAACTGTATGACTTCATTTAAGACATATTAGAAACTTTCTTAAATAATGATGTTCTTTGCCTCCCTCCTTTCTTCTTCCCGTTTTTACTCTTTTCTCCAGGCCATTCTTTCATAGACCAAGGGGTGTTATTAAAGCATCTTGAAACTAGGCCCTGTCATTGCACTCTAATATGTGGGCTGAATTTCTTAGGCATCAGTAAACTCTTTCTGCTGTTATCCTTTGACTAAATTATTTAGCATATATTCAGAGAGTACTAAACTAATAAATCGTTTGGAAACTTAAGGACATATTCTATAAACATTTTTATGAGTTTTGCTGAGAGGTGTTAGGAATAAGATATCCTAAGATATTCATTAAGCAATAACTTAAATGCTAAGAAGAGTCTTGATTTTGTAAAAATAACTTTGCCCTACCTAGAACCAGCAGTTGGTATAATGGCTATGTCACTAGACTCCCATGTAGTCAACCGCGGTTGAGTCCTGGACCTAATGGCTTAAACTCACGTTGAGCGCGTGTGCATGCATGCCCAAGATCCTGAGAGGAGACTGGAGGAGAAGGGATTGCAGCATGGCCATCCCCCTGGGAGGTGATTTCTTGCTTTCTCTCTCTCTTTCTCTCTGTCTTTCTGGCAAGCACACCCTATAGCAAAAACCTCTCAAAAACAAAACAAAACAAAATAAAAAAACTTGCCTTATCTAATCATATTTGACTATATTATGAAATTTGTCTCATCATAATTTGGATTGTAAGCTTTATAAACATCAAAGATATCTTCTTTTCTTCTTTTTTTTTTTTTTTAAGATTTATTTATTTATGGAGCCAGCAAATGATATAATGGTTACGTTGCTGGACTCCCACATGGCTGACTGCAGTTGAGTCCTGGACTTAGTGACTTGAAAATCACACTCGGTGCATGTGTGTATGTGTCCAAGACCCAGCAAGAGAATGGAAGAGAAGGGATTAAGGCATGGCCATCCCTTCTGGGGGTAATTTCTTATTTTCTCTCTGTTTTTGTCTCTCTCCCTCTCTCTCTATGGTGAATACACATGCCTTATGGCAAAAACCCAAGAAAATTATTTATTTCTTTTTTTTATTATTATTATTTTGGGAGAGGTTTTTGCTATAGGGCGTGTGTGCTTGCCAGAAAGACAGAGAGAGACAGAGAGACAGAATGCGAGAAACCACCCCCAGGGGGGATGGCTACACCATAATCACTTCTCCTCCATTCTCTCGGGATCTTGGGCACGCACGCACATGTGCCTGGAGTGAGTGAGTCTAAGCCACCGGGTCCGAGACTCGACTCGAACTGCAGTCGACTACATGGGAATCCAGCAACATAGCCCTTATGCTAACTGCTGGTTCCAATGCCTTTTTTTTTTTTTTTTTTTAAAGAAGGTTTTGCTATAGGATTTGTGCACGTACCAGAATGACAGAGAGAGACAGGCAGAAAGTGAGAAATCACTCCACAGGGGGATGGCCATGCCGCAATCCCTTCTCCTCCATTCTCCTCTTGGGATCTTGGGTGGGTACGTACACACACATGCCCGGTGTGAGTTTAAGCCACCCAGTCTGGGACTCGAGCCGTAGTCAACTACATGTGGGTTCATAGCCATTATGCCATCTACTGGTCCCGTAAATGCCTTTTTTTTTTTTTGAGAGGTTTTTTGCTATAGGGCGCATGCGCTCGCCAGAGAGAGACATAGAGACAGAAAGCGAGAAATCACCCCCCAGGGGGGATGGTCACGCCACAATCCCTTTTCCTCCATTCTCCTCTCGGGATCTTGGGCACGCATGCACACGCGCCCGGTGTGAGTTCTAAGCCACTGGGTCTGGGCCGCGAACCGCGGTCGACCACGTGGGAATCCAGCGACATAGTCATTACGCTAACTGCTGGTTCCCCTGTAAATGCCTTTTTAAAAGTGAATTAAAATGTTTATTTCTTTTAGGTATTATAACTGTTGTGGACTCAAAATACGGATTAAAAGTAAGTTGAAAGATTGCTACGAGTTGCTAATTATTTTTAAGAACTGGGAATATGGGGTTGACTATTATTTTCTCTGTTTGTATCTGGACTTATCCTTAAAAAACAGCTTTTCAAAAAAGTGTGTTGAAGAATAGATGAAGTCTGTGCGTGAGGTTTTTTAAAAATAATTTTTATTTATTCACTATGGATTATGTGTGCACATATGAAAAGAGAGACAACCACCACCCACGGGATCTGGTCATGCCGGGATCCTCTACCTCCAGTCGTCACACTTGTCAGATTTTGGGCATTCACATGTGTGCCCAGCATGATTTTAGAGTGCCTGGGCCAGGGATTCGGGTCTCTGTTGCCTTGTGGGATCCAGCTTCTTTTGAGCAGTGCATCCTGCTGTGCCATGAACCTAGACTTGGTTGTGTGTGTTTAATTATTGTGTTTTAAAATTAAATATTTCTTGGGAACCAGCAGTTAGTGTAATAGCTATGTCGCTGGACTCCCATGTAGTCGACCGCGGTTCGCATCCTGGACCCGGTGGCTTAAAACTCACGCCAGGCGCGTGTGCGGGCGTGCCCAAGATCCCGAGAGGAAAATGGAGGAGAAGGGATTGTGGCGTGACCATCACCCCTGGGGGGTGATTTCTCGCTTTCTGTCTCTATGTCTCTCTCTGTCTGTCTGGCGAGCGACGCGCCCTATAGTGAAAATCTCTCCAAAAAAAAATAAAAATAGTAATGAGAAATAATTTTTTTAAAGGTAAATGGAAAGAATTATGATAGAATTCATGCAAAACCAGTAACTCCTCTCTTTAAATACCAGGAAGTGAAGAATTTTCTTTTATTTTTTTTAATCAATAAATCGTAGAAAATAAATTAAGAAAATAAAGTGATCTAAAATATAAAGTAAATATGATTCTTTTAGAATATCCTATATTCTATGTTCTATTGTAGAACATTTTATAGCACCTCAGAGCATTTATATTTCTTTCACAATGCAATGTATATTTTTGAAGAATTGTTTATTTAATTTCATTTGTTATTATTATTATTATTATTTAAATTTGACCAGACAGAAAGAGAATGGAAAAGCAAGAAAGCAAGCCACCAGATTCGGCACTCAAATTGCAACAGGCCATGTGGGAATCCAGTGCCTTTCACCACCACACAACCTTCCAGCCCCACACTGTAACATATTTCCAAATCTTTGTAAATGCATACTAACGAAGATAAAAGCTCCACTAAACACAGCAGGAAAAGAAAGAGACAAATAGGCCATAAGTATTCCCCCTTGCCCATGAGTGGATTAATGACATTATCATAGGTTAATTATTTGGAGAGTATTACTCATATATCTGTCTCCTTGCAATCGTGCACTCAGTGAACAGATGTTTACTACATAACTACCATGTTTAAAATTCTGTTCTGTTTTGTTCACCAGGATGCCATAGGTCCTAGGGAACTCAAGTCTATAAACTTACCTTCTTTTTCTCAAACTTGCAAAAAGTTAATACAATTATTCTATGTTAATTATAAGATTCCTTAAAATTTTATTCTGGGGACAGCCTGTAGCATAGTGGCCAAGGTGGTGGACTCCTATAT